TATATGTATAATTTATTGTTTAATAATACTTTTTTACTTACATTCTGTATATGAAGGATTGTACGGTGTTATTATAGCACCAAGATAAGAAATGGCGCAACCTGGTATTAACCAATTTAATCGATTTTCAGTTGCAATGGAAACTCTGTCTCCAATTTTTATTCCGTATCTTTGCAAGAACTTTGCGAGCTTCACGCTTCTCTCGAGTAATTCTCTACATGTCATTTGATTGCCGGTTGGTCCGTCTATCTAAAAAAAAAACAATATTTCTTTATAATTATATATAAAGTCGATATAATCATGAGATAGTCTAGACAAAATAAACAATTTTTTTTCATTTTACACGTTAAAGAAATTGAAGGGTTATATTGCTCAAAATTTTTGACAATTTTTTACGATGCGGATTGAATTGAATAAATGTACGAAAGAAGTTTTAAGCAATATTTATACAACACATAAAGTGTGAAAAATATATTTTTTATTGACAAATACTACATGAATGGGTCGGGGATCAGTTATTATAAAAGATACATAATGTGACAAGAAAAATTTAGAGTTAAAATTCATGAATTTTGTCTCCGGTGATTAGCATCGATAGCATTATGAAAAAACACTGTAAACACCATTATTACATCGCGTTATTATTTAGCAAGCGATGAGCCCATAATTGGCAATCGCTACTGCGTTTTGTAATTGTGGCACATACTGCATAAATATGATTGTTGTTCTCGCGCAATTTGTTTAAAATAATTTCTCCTAAAGACACATTTGGCGTTGGCTGTTCCAAACGGCGCTCATATATTTTTCCCATCTTTGCAGCAATGTTGAATTTGTCTGACAAGCAGAATGTTTTTACCTAAAAAAAAAATATAATTCTTAATTCTTTAATTTTTAATTTAAATTAATAATAAGTATAGAGCTACAAGCCACACACACACACACACACACACACACACACACGCGCGCGCGCGCAAAGCCAGATCTTAATGCTCTGTTATTAAAAAACAAAAGTTTATTATCACAAACGTTTTAACCCTAATTGGATCATTCTCAATGTTACAATTAAAAGCAACGATTCATTTGAAAGACAATAACTTGTCGAAACACATGATATGATTTAGACAGTATTTGTAATAATATATAAAATTTATAAGCAAAATGTTATCAATAAATCATCGTTAAGCTATTATCCAAAATTAAGAACTTCATTATCGTCTGCTGCATTTATTGTTAGCTGGATACTCAAACAAAAATTCAGTCATTTAACTAAAATTCAGTTAATATGTGAAATTTTTGAAATATTATTCGGAATCAATGTATTGAAATTGATTGTATCATTAGATAAAACTTACATTGTACTGCATAACGATGATCTGTTATAACACGATGTGATTATAACTATGTCTTGAAAACGTGTGAGAGAACGTTTCTTATTCGCAATTTGTTTATAAGTATAAAAGTTAAACAGAATAAATACCAACGCAAAACTCGACGATACAAAATTTATGAGTTATAATTTTGTATTGTCGAGTTTTGCGTTAATATTGCTTGTTTAACTTTTATACTTATAAATATTGCGAATGAGAAACGTTCTCTCACAACATAGCTCTCAAGACATAGTTATAATCACATCGCGTTATCAAAATGTTTGTATTTGGTGATTGACATTTATATTATTTTCGATTATACATGCCTGGTAAAAATTTTTTTTAGAATTTTCTATATAATTTTATAACTGTCTCATATTTTTTATACGAATTGAAACATTTCTTAGAAAATCTACATCTTTTCTCAGAATTTTTCGTATATGTTAATTATAAAATATTGTAAAATTTCTAAGAGTTTTTCTAAGATTTTTTGTAAGTATAATTTCTGATAAAATGTTATAAAATCTAAAAAATTAAAAAATATTTTTTAAAAATTATGGGATGAGAAATTTTAGAATTCATTTGTATGAAAAATTCTGAAATGCCAGAGGAACACCATACCATACATTCTAATGAAAACAACCGCCAGAACAATCGCCAGACTTTTTTTATGGTATCTCTCCCTTAATTGCATAATATCTAATATTGCTTGAATGCACATATCATACTTTGCTTAATTGTCAAAATTTATATTAAATCACATTCCAATTAATTCATTATTAGTTATTATAATTAGTCAAAGCAATGTTATTATATATAAAAAAGATGTAAATCTGGGTATTTCTGAAAAATGTTCGAATTTGTATAAAAATTCTGAAAAAAATTAGGAACGTACAACTGTGTCGGTTTTCATTGGCTTTACCCTCCTTTATCGATTTAATCTTTGGAGCTATTTTTAATTTTAATTTTTAATTATTCATTTCATTACATAAATTTATTCGTTTGGAGTAGCGAATCGAGCGCTTATCATCAGAGCGTGAAATCACGATCGGTAATACATGAAGATGACCGCAAGATCGCGCAATCGCGCCATAATCGCGCGCTTTTTTCGGGGATAATGACGCGTCGGACGCGCGTCCGATTTTGTGGCTCGAATTTTTGGAAAATATTCACAAACTGGCGTCAATAGGTATCTAATGTTACATTATACGCATTTCTCATTATCTATAACTTCTTTCTAATGTAAAATCACAAGTCTTTCACGGCGATTCGATAGGATTGGCACAGTTGGCACAAATTAGTTTTATGGAAAATCATTTTTTTTTGCGTTGCCATTATCAAGGTTTCGTTGTGCATGTTTTCTCAGAATCCCGGATATTGAAACGAGATGAAAGCGGCCCGGATACGAGAACTGGGAACTATCTACGCAGAGATGAGAAAACGGAAGGACCAGGAGATAATCGGGACAGTGATTGCCGCTGCGGTGAGTTACGAAGTAATATACATATTCGGTATTATTCATGATGTTTATGCGGCGCTGTTGTAAGCTAAGCAAATGGCATTGAGATCGTGTGATCACACAACTTCACAATTGGACGCATTATGGGTATGCGACACTTTAAACTTTCCTGGCGAAACCGAGAACAATGGAATATCTCGGAATTTATAGTAAATACAATTATAAAAGTTTATATGGAAGAACATGTATGAATATGTGTCTCATTTCAATGACACTATACAGCTTCTAATTTTATGTTCTCACAAACGAACATTTATTAAATTATATTTCTATATAATTTTATATACGTTTCCTAAATGTTCATACTGTCTAAAGGATTTTTTTAAAGTTTAAACTGAAGTATATATATTTTAAAATATTAAAATGTTAAATTTGCTTTTTGTAAGCTGTTATATTTTTTTCAGCATATATCCAAGCAGAACAACAAGTCATGATAACGTCAAAATGATTATTAAAATGAATCAGGAATGATTGAAAAATGACTTAATGATCACTTTAGAGTCATTTTTACATCAATTTGGTATCATAATGACTTGTTATTCGGCTTGGATATTTACTAATAATTTATTAATAATTCTCTTTTATATATAATAACATTGCTTTGACTAATTCCAATAACTAATAATGAATAATTAATTGGAAAGTGATTTGATATAATTTTTGACAAATAAACAAAGTATGATTTGCATTCAAGCAATATTAGATATTATGCATTCAAGGGAGGAATATCATAAAAAAAGACTGGCGGTTGTTCTGTTTTCATTAGAATGTATGGCATGGTGTTCCTCTGGTATTCAGCTGGATGTCCTTGGATATACGGGATGATATCGGGCAGAGGGATAGATGGGAATGCGTTCTCTCGGGGTTTATACGGGAAGGGGATGGGAGGCGTGCCATGAGTTCCATGCTGTGGCCATAATCATGAGGAAAAAGTACGGAAAATTCTTAAATACCAACGTTCAAGTTCCTTTGTTTTCTTTACGACGTCTCAAGATACAATATCTACTATTTTTGTGCTTCGGTAAGCTTATACCGTCTAATAACATTCTGCGCACGACATATCAAGATGGGGCAATTGAATAAAACTGAGATTTCATCAACACGCAATTTATGTATATATAATAGAAAATTTTATAAATAAGACTACAAACTTCTGCAAAATTAGAATTAGCTCCGTGAAAGTGGACTAAGCCTATGTAATTTGTAAGATTTTTTATTTTACGATTTTATATTTAAAAAAAATGAAAAAAATTATGACTTTAATCCGTACATACAAAATTATCATCAGTTTATACATATAAAATTAATTATTTTGTATGTATATCATTTATAACATAAACAAATAAATAAGAATGTGAATTGTAAATTGTTATTTATGTTAAGTGGCAGAGTTCATATAATCGAATTTAGAATATTATAATTAACATATATTTAAATTGTTCTTGTGGATTTTTTCTTTCTCAATCCTATTTTTTGTTATATTATGTCAAAATTGTTAAAATATAATATTGAAAAGTACTCAATTAAAGCAAAACTTAGTGTTTTTGTTAAATGCTTTAACTTGTAAGTATTAAAATAACAACAGTAGTTGATTCAATTGAAATTACAGAAGCTACTGTTGTTATTTTATAAAGAAGATTTATATTGATGACTTAACAATTTTAGAGACCTTAAAAAATAATATATGTAAAAAATTGCTGTGACACTAATTTAAATTTTTATCGCTGTAGTAATGAAAAATGTAGATTGTGAGTAAATTTACAAACATTGTCAGGAGACACTATAGTGTTTGGCGTACTGACAGTTATTTATTGTATTAAATTAATATTCCGAACTTGTGACTAAGTAAGATTACAATTAAATTAAGCAAAATAAAAATAAAAATTAAAATAAATAGGAGCAACTTGTACATTTTATTTTTATAGATCCATTTAGAATTAATAATAAAAAAATTAATTAAATAGATTAATTAAATTAAATAGAATCAATATTAAAATAAATAGAAATAATTTATAAATTGTATTTTTATACATTGATAATAAATTAATAAGCAATAAAAATAAAACAATTTATTTTGCGATACTTTGTAAAACATTGTGATAAAAAATATTAAGTCTTACTAAACATTTTAACTGAGTACTTTTCAATATCATATTAAAAAAATTTTTTTAAGAGTTAAGAGAACTAAGACTTTTAGCAAGAATTTGCTTTTCACTGTTAAATTTATAGTGTCAAATTTAATCTAACGTGAATCACTTCTACTAAATATATTGTTATTTTTTTATCGAAACGGTAGTTAAATTTGACACTATGTCAATTTGACACTGTAGTATCAAATATAATCATTGATTTAATTATATAAAATAATTATATATAAAATAACGATATGATTGAGTAAGAGCAGTGGCGATTCACGTTAAGTTAAATTTGACACTACATTTAACAGTGTTCGAGATATACATAGCTCTAGTAACACTAATTTGCAATTTTCACTGAACAGTAATTGTTGACTTTGTCAAGAGATCTTTGACATTGTGTTATTCATAAGAAAAATAAATAAACAGATAAAATGAATAAAAGCGAAGGAATAGCGCGCGCACCGGTATGGTTAGATTGCGGACGAACCGATTTCTGGCGTTCTCCGTGACATATGCACCGTATCCGCGGGAATGCATGCGACGGTGTGCATCCGGTATCCAGCCGCTCGTCTTTGGGTATTCGCATAGAGGGTTAAGAGGCCAGGGGACAACCATGGGCGGGGATGCGTTCTCGGGAATCGCTGAAGTGCTGGGGAATCGCTCTTCGGGGTTAGTCTAGTCGTCGACGTGGACGAGGTTCCCGGGGGAGGTTCTAGAGAGAGGTTAAGGAAGCTTTGGGACGCTACACGGAGGACGGGTGGGGTGGTCGAGGGCGCGTGCCACTCTGATTGTAGCGGCCATACTAGGACACTGGAGCCACATACCGACAATT